GGGTGCTGCTGTTACGTGCTGTCATGCTTTTTGATGACGGCACTACCCCAGTGTCAACACTGCCAACCACCTCTTCAATCCTCAAGTGCAGCATGCCGCATGAAGTGGTCACTTGAGACACCATAACCATTAGTCCATGAGTTCTAGGCTCGTCCGGCCCCCTGCATCTACGAGCATCTACACCAACGGCAAGGCAGTAAGCGTGTTCAGCGCACAGCCATCGCCACGTTGTCGGGCTGCAGCCTACTTTGCGCCTGGCAGACATACTAGTACGATAATATTTGATGTTATGCAGTCGCGGAAGACAAAGGAAGAGCGATGCTTTGAGTCTTATGAACTCTTGACGTCATCTGAGTCAGCTGAGTGCGAAGCAAAACCTGAACTCTGCGCCATCGATGCCATTGATGCCTCTGGCAGGACCATCATGTCTTCCCCCCACGAGCCAACCACGGAATAATTGACCACAAGCCTGTAGCACGCCAAGGGCAGCCGATAGACGCTCAACTTGTAGCCGGGTAGCGTCCTGATGCTGTGCACGTGGGCACGGTCGAATTGGCTGTTCAATTGTGCATTGAACACACTCTCAAAAATAACAACCCTTCATGCAAACGTCAACTTGCGCCTCACGCTTCTTCGACTCTGCGAGGTGAAGCGCCATCTGCTGCACTGCCTAAGAGTCTTCATACCACAATCACAGGAATCTGGAATCCACAATTGGGAAACACATGCTTGCAGCAGGGCAGTTGACAACAAACCGTCATGTCTCCGGACACCCTTGAATGTACCAGTCCTTACCTTTGAGGGCACGGCAACGTCATCGAGCTCATGCTGCCTGCGCGCTGCCTTTGCAACTGCCGCATACTGTCAATCCATATGTGGCAGTCGCAACAAAGGTCAATAGGGTCGATAGGGCGAGTTGTTTGTCTGTCTGGCTTCCATCTATTGTTCTGTCCAAAACTGAGAACACCGCCCATATCTCTACCGCTGCATGCAAAGAAAGAGGTTGGAATAACAGGAAGTTTTGCTAGCTCGTCCGTGTCGCGCTACCCAGCATCCGGCCTGTAAGTCGCATTGAAGTTTTGTCACCTGCCCAAGTCCAGCGGCTGTGACTTAGGAGGTCTTCTTGGCCCGCATGGAAAGATGTGTTTGCTGCTACTGATTGCCTACCACTTCGCTGCAGCAGACAGAATCTAGATCCGAAGCAAGTCAGTCAGCTGCGCCTGTTCTCTAAGGCTTGTTCTTTCAGCCTTGGCTGACGTGGGCGTTGAATCCGGATCTAATCTACTCGCGCCTTCATTTATTGCTCCCACCAAGGCTGCAAGCCATGGGGCGTCCCTCCAAAAAAACATACATAAGAGGTTGAGCAACATAAACCATGCATCGCATGTTGCCCATGGCTGCTGGTTATCAACTGAGCACTTGTATTCATCCAAGCAGCAACGAGATTCTGCATCATGCTGCGCTCCTGCCCGTGCAGGCGGCATTGTGGCCAGCCGTGCAAAGCTGCTAACCACAAAACAATGAACACTTCTATGACGAAAGCTGCAGGAGATTCTGTGCAGCAACGTGCCAAGCGAGCCGTGCTGCCATGCTAGCTGCGCAAATATCTTTTAAAAAAAGGAGTGCAAGACCAGCTGTCCGCGCGAATCGTGATCTCGACGCTTGTTGCTTAAGGGCTCACACGGATGTCAACGTTACAAATCTGCGAAGGTGGAGCAGTGGAGTGACGTGCTTAAACAATTCGAAGACTTGGTAGCAGCAGCGATCATGGAAGTTGCAGCTCGCCCTAGCTGGCTTGGGGCACCTTTGATGACACTCTCGGTCCTGGAGTGTTTACACGTTTCAAGTTCTCTTCCAGCCGTGCTTTCATGTGAGGCATTTGGCTTTGGGCACGGCACATAACATGCATGATCACAGCAGCAAGCCGGAAGGCATTCCATGATGGTGACCGAGGTCACAATGCCAAAGTCCGAGCATCAACAGCAGACACATTTCGAGACAAGCAGATCGCAAGAAGCGGCCCCAACAATACTGATCTCGAAGCGGCTGAGTGATGACCCTAGTCCTGTTGGTAGCCATGGTGTCCCTCCCGGTGGCCGTACCATCCCAAGCCCTGGCCATTGCAACATCAGCGACCCAGGCCCAGAAGGCTGGAGAGCAGCGCCATCAACGAACAGTTCATCGTCACAGCTTTTGCCAATGAAAGGCACTGGGTTTGGGCGCTTCTGAGTTCTTACAGACAAAGGGGGAGACTGCCATGGAGAAAACAAATGTTGCATTGCTGCTGCTGCTGCTGCTGCTGCTGCTGCTGCTGCTGCTGGCACCCTGTCAGTCTTTGCAATCTGTGCACTTGTTTCTCATTCATAATCTTTGGAGTGTTCTTTTAAAAATCCCGTTGTGCCACAGTCCCTGCAGGACCTCTGGCCCTTTCACACCCAAGGCGTGGGCTTTCATGGCTTTGGACACCGTGGAGCCCAGGGTGAGTAGGGTGCCAGAACCTCCGATATCGTCCGCTGAGATCCCTCAAAATCCCCTTTGTGTCCCGTTTAGCCCTACATCGGCCATTTGCAATAGACATGAAATCACCCTGGCAACATTCCAACAGCCAAAAGCCATGCAGCGGCTTACCAAGCTTGACTATGTCGCTAGAACCTGCCACATTCTGCGCTTGAGAGTGGTAGGCCTCGTCCAGGTGCTTGCGGGATCTTATCAGCTCCTGGACCAAGTCTGCCTCACATCCGGCCTGCTCAGCATACAGGTTTTAGCTCAAAATGACATCTGCCCTCAGCTGCAAGCAGGCTGGCAGCAGACTGCAAACAGCATGCTGGAGCGTTGAGGCCGTTGAGGCAGACAGAGCAAGAGAGAATACAAGTACCGAAAAGACTGCGATTTCGGCTTTCTGGCAAACCTGGCTGGTGTGATTGGTTTTGCTCCTGCTGTTCTTGTTATACAACTCCCAGAAAACTGCAGGGAAAAGCTGCAGGGCTTGACCTCCTCCTGCGCTGTGCTGCTACTTGCCGCAGCCCCTGGCGCAAAGTTTGGCAAGGCAGAATGCAAAGACAAGAAGCCTATTTCAAGAAGCATCATATTGCTCCGCAAGTGTTGCCACATTTTTCAGCACAAATACATGGTATATCAATTTGCGCTTTTGCAGAATGCCTGCTCGGCTCTCGCGCCAAATAGAGGCGCGCACTGTCGCACCAGGGCCGGTGGTGCACTTGGTGGGACAGAGTTGAAGGCTGGCCGCAGGGTTTGAGACCAAAAGAGTTCACTACCAGGAGGCTGGTGGGGGCGGTGGTTGTAGTAGCAGCAGTAGAAGCAGTAGCAGTGGTGGCGGCGGCAGCAGCAGCAGCAGCAGCAGGAGTAGTAGTAGTAGTAGTAGTAGCAGCAGTAGCAGCAGTAGCAGCAGTAGCGGCAGTAGCAGCAGTGGCAGTAGTAGCTGTGGCAGACGAAGCAGCAGCAGTAGCAGCAGCTGCAGAACGCGATGAGCGCAGTCAGTGTAACTGCTTTCATCATGGTAACTCGTGCGCCGACAGTGGCTGGGAGTCTGCACAGCCGGCTTAGAAGGCTTCAGCTTCCATCCTTCCAGCCAAGTCTCGTCGTCTGCGGCGTCGAACAGCTTTCTCCGCAAGGTATCCTCCGCTCTCACCAAGGTCTTGCACATCGTGCTGAGACTAAAATGACTTTTGAAAAAAAACATGATAGCAATCGCAGCATGGCGGTGTAGCTATCAATGATGCCGATGCCCATTCTGGTAACCATGCTGCAATTGCAAAATTCCCATGTACATGTTTGCACAGCTGCCGGAACTCTGAGATACTTCAAAACAAGCCCCTGATGGCCTGACCACCAGTCTCCAAGCAAGCCCCTTTCCTCAGGATGCAGGAAGCTTGGCCGTGAAATGTTCAGGGTTTAGGTTGAGGCTTTCCCGTCTGAAAAGTTGGGCTAATCTTAAAGCGTCCAGGGTCGAGGCCAGATGAAATGTCCCTTTAGCAACTTTAGGTAAGCTTTCCCAGATCTTTCGTTCGCCTGGACCTTTGCAAGCCGGCTCCTCTTGGGGAGTTGCAAAAAATTATGCCGGGTCCCCTGTTAGTGCATCCTGCATGTTGAGAGTCCGCAATATGCTAAATGGAAGCTACTATACTAGTTTGGGGATATAAAGGGGATAATGGAAAAGAACATGAAAACTACTAAATTCTAGGGTGGTTGAAATGTCTGCCAAGAAGGGACTATGCTGTCCACAACTCCACAGATGTTGCTGTTGACTTCTTGGCGCCTTACAGCTCCTCCGTTCGAAAGCTGGGGATCTGTGGCGTTGCCATCCTTGGCCGTTCAGGCGCTTAGGATTCTGATGAAAGTGTCTTCTGCGGGGTTCCCAAAATCACGGTTTATGTGTAAATATACGGGCTTATATAGGGGGTTATATAGGGGTTATCTAGGGTTTAGGGTTTCCCAAAATTAGGTGTACCTTTTTGGGGATCCCCATTATAAGGATCATAGTATTTGGGGGTCTATATTGGGATCCCGTGTTCTGGGAAACTACCCCAAAGCACGCGCAAGCATGACCACTGCCGGGCAGCGCAGTACTGACACGAGTCGATCTCACACTTGGCGCCACGCGGAGATGAAGAGCGGCTGCTGTCCGACATGCCTGCGTAGCATGTGAGGCGCAACGCTTCACCAACCACGCTCTTGAAGGCTCTCACTGCTGCCGTGCTGCTGCCCCAGTCCATCAGTGGCGACTTGTGCAAGTCGTGTCTGTTCTCAGAAGCTGCGGGTGCGATAATGAACCAAATGTGGCGAGGGATTTCCTCAGCTTAAGCCTTGTCCTGGTTTGCCACTGAATGCTATGACTAGGATCAACAGGGTTGTGCTCGGCCAATCTCAAACGGAAGAGTGCAGCTCGCGACTGGCAACAAGCCAAAGATCCGGCTTTCTCTTTCTTTTACAAGCAAATCAAGCCCAGAGATGTTTTGAGACAAACATCTGCTCAGATCCGCTCAGATCCTTCTGCGCTTCTGCCCTGGTGCCTGCCAGGAAAAGTCTTGCCGGCCAAGGTTCAAGCTTGCCCCCCGGCCTCCACAGCTTTCCTCTTCTTGGCACCTGCGCGAAAACTCCAAAAACAAATGGCTAACAAGCAACTCCGAAGGCAGCCGACACTCGTCTTCGCAGCATTTCCCAGCAAAGGTGGAAGAGGTCAATTCAGCCCGGCTTCGCAACACTCTGTGGCGGATGGCAGCGTGTACCGAACTTCACCGATACACGCTGGGGCCACATACCAGAATTCACTGCTGACTACTCCAGAGCTTGCTAAAGAGTTCGTCGATTCTCGGTGCCATCTTCAATGGCCCTGCTGCAATCGCAGGCAAATACAAACAAGTTCAAAAGACTGGACCTGTGACAGGCATCACTAATCACAGGCTCCCAGTGAGAAATGTACTGCGGAGATGTATCTGTCAAAAATTATTGACAATTGCAACCATGATCCTCAGTGAAGCGATCCATGCATTTGCTGAGGCTACCTTTTCTTTTCTCCTGAAATGATGGAAATGCTTTGGGTCCTTGGGCTGCTGACCCACTACTTTACAAATCTTCAGATCAACCATGTCAGGAACAATGAATCGAAAAGGTGGCGCAGCTGGCGACTGTCATCAAGACGCCATTATGGCGTCTCTTGGGGAAGTCGTAGCAGGTCGTTCACCGAAACTTGAGGCAAGAATCATTCAAGTGCCGTATGTATGCGCGGGTCATTACCCAGCATGCCACAGAAGCACCACATCAGGCCGATACTCCTCACCATGCGTGCAGTTGCGGTAGCACTCTTCAAACATCTTCAAACCCCGAGCTCTAATGACAAACTGCCTCCCGGGTCCTTGAGAGTGGCCCACTTTGCAGTGCCGCTTTGAGAGACGCACCCTGACCCAGTTCGCCATCTCACCGACCTAGCCAAAGATTCTGAGTAAAGGCCCCAATAGGCCCAACAGCCTGAGGGCAAGAACAGCTGCAAACAAATAAGCGGAGCCCTCAGTGAGCCTTCACAGCCAGGCGTTGCCTGAGTCCCCTGGCTGCCTCTGTCTGAGGAGCTCCTTGAAAACTTGAACCAGACATTAAAGGCAGAGCTATATCGAAAGCTCATCATGCAGAACTTTCTGCTTCCATGGCACCGTGATCCATCCAAGTCGGACCCATGCGCCTATTGCCATGAGCTGAGACCCTTGCTTCCGGGACAATGGCAAAGGCATGGGTCACTGGATAGCACTCGCTGTCCTCACTGTCTTCGCTTGGTACGGCAAGTAGGCGGTGTACTATCTTCTGGAATTCGTGGGCGTCCAGGCAGTTCACACGCTGTATGGCAGCCGCTCTTTGGCTGTCCACAACAGGCTGCAAAGGAGAGCAGGTAGACGGAAGACAGGCGGTTTGACCGGCACAGGCATCTGAAGCCATAGCACCCAGCCCGTAATTTCACCTAAATCACAGTCTGCCCGCTGAAAGAGCATACTTACGGCTGCACCACAACTTGGTTCCAACCATCATTGCTCCCTCAGGCACTGCTTATTCTACAGAACTTTCGCAGCATCGAAGTCTCCGGCCTCCGCGAGTGAAAACAAGCTTGCTGTTGCTGGACTTTGCAGCGTTGAATGCAAACCTGACCCGGCTGCGAACACAAAGCATGGATGCACATGGGGTGCCTAAAGCGTCTGTTCAACCCTTCTGTTGCAGGCCCCCACCCACGCACCAAAGCCGCTGTCATTCCCCGCCTGTTCTTCTCATCTCCTGGCGATTGCAGGCTCGGTGCCAGATGATTTTTGGGACTATTGAGGCGTTGCACCTATCGCGAAGATTTCAGCCAAAGTTTCAAGAAAAAGTATGCTCGCAAATCACGAAAGGGGTAGGAGGGAAGGGTGACGGCGCCAGCAACACACAATGCTTCTCGTACGTTGAGAAGCGTGTGAAAGCAACTTGCACTGTGATCACATCCATTCCGCGCCGCTCCAACATGTGCCCAAAAAAAACGGACACTGGACCTGCGAGACTGTTCAACAACGGTCTCGTCAGGCATCAGTGAATCCAGGATCATGTCAGCAAGCATCTGCAATTTGCAAATTGCCTAGCCAAACCCGATGTAACGCCAGTTTGCATTACATGTTCCATGCCCTTATCCAGATTCTTCATGATTAGTGGGCAGCTCCTGTAAACTTCTTCAAACCGTTGGGATCTTTGACTCGCTTCTGAACGATGTACTTGCACATCGCACCACGCGCCTGCACAAATGTAGGGAGGGAAGCTTGCGGCTCACATCTTTGAACAAACCAGCTCACTGAAAAAGACATCCGAGCATCAGCAGCCGCTCAAATGGAATTGTTTTGAAGAGACGCATAGAGACGTAACTCTTTGCAGTTGGTGCGGCCGCCTGTTTCACAAGGCTCGAAGGTCCCGCGAAGTCACAGGTCACGGCCTGTACTCCTTGGAAAGTTGACATGCATGGGACAGAGCCACAAGCACGTGGCAGGCTCTTTGAACTCACAGCGGCATGAACTTCGATAAGAAGCACACAGCTGGCAATGCAAATGTGTGCAGATGAGGTGTCACGCTGGCTTGCGGATCATCCGCACGGCTTGAAAACTCACACATTGAGATGATGTGGAACCTCGGTCCTTGTGGAGAACCGAGCTTGATAACATCTATAGTCTATACAATCCATAACGTCTATACAACATGCAAGGAGTCGGTCCTGGCAAGCAATCAGTAGCTCTCAGCTGTGAAGCCAAGCAGCTCAGGAGGCCTCCTGGCCTCTTGGAAACTTTGCTCAGCTTGACTATGTTGGATCTGAGGAACTCCGATGTAGCTTCAGGCCATCTGAATTCGGACCCGCTTTCAGCGTGGACCTGGCAACCTCTGACAAGAACAGAGGCCGACCAATTGTTACCGCTGATGTGTGCAGCCTGTTGCGCCGCGTTTTGCTGTGCCTTCAGTCCTGTTTGAGTGGCTTAGTTGGGCGGAGCCGGCGAGCACAGCCCCGCAGAATGAGACCACAAGCCAAGACCTGGAGCGCACTGCTGAATCCCGGCAAGTCACATGAGGCTTCCAAGGCCAAGACCGGCAGGGCGTAACAGAGGTATGCGAAGGCGACAAACGTCCAGGGACCAACCTCTCAGATGCACATCCACTCAGCAAACCAGCAGGAGGCTCTCATCACGGTGGCATCAGCTGAACTCTGCAGTCAGGACTTGACGGGCCCAGGAATGCCATAGTAGCAAGCATAGGCTAACCCCA